AAGTCAAATTGATTCGCAGAACGTGGCCCCTGGGGAGTTTCTATAAATATCTATATACAGATATATAGATATATCATATCTATAAGTTCTGAATATGGCTATATATGGGGTTTGCTTCCTGATTAGAAGCTGTAAGTGCAGAAACCTAAGGTAAAACTATGGTTTAGTAAAGGAAAACTGCTAGTGCTCTCATGTTCAGGCTGACAGAGATTAAGATTAATGTGGTGCACTTCACACATACAAGTATTTGGCAGTTGCAGTTTCCTGTTAAGTGTCGTATCCCCTCGGAGACAGAGATTATTAATATTTATCAATTCTGACACGCCATGGGCCTCCTTGGCAGAATAATATGGAAGCTGACATCATCTGATAGTCCTTTGCTGTCATGGGTTAAATGGGGGCTGCTTAATTGCTTAATTGGAAGTTGTCAGTGGGACGGCATTTTTGGTGTGGAAGTCTTCACTTCCTAATTCAATTGCTCTCTTCAGTTCTTCCTTGACCTTCCCTCTCCTTGGGTTCTAAGATAATAAAGTTTCCTCTGACCTTGCACACATAAAGGGAAGAAAATTATTAGGATGAGGGATTTTACCATCTTTTACAGACTGCAGCACTTTGATGCTGTTACACGTTTTGTGACTTCCCTCTTACTGTCTTTCCTCTGGAGTCAAATGTTCTCTGAGGCATTTGATAATTTTAGATCATCTAAAGGGAATGTCAGTTTTAGACCCAAGGCCTGTAGCTCTCCAAACATTGTATGTAAGGGCAAGTAAGAATATCTTTATATAAAGGGCATAATTTGTAGCTCATAAATTGAATAACTCAGTAATACATCCTTTCCTCTGAATCTGGCATATTCGGTGGGACAGCATTTAACAGCAGGTTGGGACACAAGCTATATTTAGTGCAGTGGGGTAGAAGCAAATGAGTGAAGCGGTCAGTCCTGAGGACCCAGGCTGTGCTGCAGAATTTGGGGGGGGTAATGCTTCAATTTAGGTTTGCTCCCATGGGCCAAGTGCTTTTTGCAGTTGGGACACTGTTAGGTGAGCTCTGGGAGCATATAGTCCTGTTTAGTCCATCGTGCCCTCTCAGATCTCTGCATAATATGAGTCCAGGCATGGTACATAGGTGTGGTCTGGAGTCAGGGCTCATAAATGCACTCCTAAACCCAAACTAAAATGGTGATGTAAGTACAGCTCCTGTATTTGTGAAATGCATCAAATCACCCACAATATGCACACAACCCTGGCTGGCATTAGTGGGAGGGAAGCAAGAGAAATGGATGAGAGAGCTCACAACTCCTTTAGCTGCATCCATGTCTGACTGGTATTGAGCGTGAGTGACGGATGTAAAATCACTACCCAAAATGCCTTGATTATTAACACAATCCTAGAGCTTACGCTTTTCAGTGCCCTGCTATTGCTCAGGAGTAAGCCATGTGTTTCATTTTCTATCCACTCTCCTCTTACAGATAGATTTCATTCCTGCATTTCTGAGTGAAGTCCTAGAGTGCACACCCCCTCCAATAGATTTGTCTTTAAGAGCCTTGTAGAATCACCAAATGACATCGTGATTCATGACAGCTTCTTCAAAATAAGTATTCTTCATTTGCCCACAGGAGCAGAACAGAGAAAATATATAAATAAAATAAAATCATCATAAAATATCATAAAGTTTACACACATGTATTAATTAACCTGAAACCAATAGCTTTTCCTTGATCACATAGGTAACTATTGCTTGTTTCAAAGCACCCCCTTGTGCAGGCACTGGGTAAAACAAGTTGCACAAGAAGCTTCTGACTCCTTGACACCTCGGTCATTTGGTTAGAATCTTCATTTTTCATGTCATTCACCCTGCTTCATCTGCCACAGAGTTCTTTTATTCAATGGATCATGTCCAAAGACCTCAGTTTGAGGTTTCAAACTGCACTACGGGACCTGATCAAGCTGGTTTAATACAGATGGAGGTAGTCTTCAAATGGCTGATTCCCTTTGTTGTCCATTTAAACACTGGGAAAATTAAATTCTTCAAAAATCTTCTGCAAGTGTGGGTAAGTCCAACTGGAATTAACCAATATGAATCTCCAAAAAAGTTCATATACCATTAGTAAGGTTTTTATAGATATAATTCACAGTTGGTAAAAATGCTGAAAACTTAAAGGCCGTAGGCTTGAATTTTCCAAAGTAACTAGTGACATTAGTAATTTCATTCTGGCCTGTCCACCTTGAGATGACTTTATAGAAAACTAGTTGTAAAAACTTACCTTTTTCTGTAATTCAGGCTCCTCTGGCAGCATCACGAATTGGGGATCACAGGTATGAAAACTCTCAAAGTCTTTAGTAATTTTGGAAAAACTTGTCTATACTATGTAAAAAGATTAACATTTAAAATTATTTACGTAATGCGTTTAGAAGGAAACAAACATGACTTTAAAGCCAGGGATAGCTTCTTTCATTTGTATTAAACCCAAAATTTGCATCTGTTGATTGGGCAGTCTCTGTCCATGGCAATGTTCAGATGAGCCATCTCCTTGACAGAGTTAGTACACTTTCACTGGGGAAAAACATCCGTCCCTTTTTGCTTTTTCAGACTTGAATGTTTAATTTGTTTTGGAAATGTTCAAATTTTGGATTAACCCAATTTTTTTCCTTTATTGATTATGTTATGTTAATGGCAAAGGAAGCATATTTTCTTTGAAGAGATAAATAAGGCATTCTGCATAATTCTTGGTGTCTCAGATATTAATTTGATGATAATTTAATTGCATCACAAGAGCTATTGGGTGAAATTAAATTACAAACAGATGAGAACAGACAATGCAATATAAAAAAGAAGCTGAGATATCTGTAAGCATTTCAAACACTCCCCAAGGCACCCTACGTTGTTCATGCTCCAAAGAACTGAGACAGTAGTGCCAGAATACCACTTTACACAACAGTTTCGGCACAAAGGCACCTACCTACCTACTAGGCACATCACTACCTATCAAGATTTTTCATCTGTAGTATCCATATGCATATATCCTATCAACTCTCACATTCCCTGTCTCCTCAGCTCCTTGGTTTTCCCAGCTTACCCACATTTAATGCACCCTTCTTCTTCCTCCCACAGTGCCATCCTGCTGGCAGAACCCTATCCCGTATTCTTGCTGTTCCCCATATTCTCTGGCATCATGCTTCAAGTACTGCTGTTCAGGGCAGCAAAACAAATAGCTGGTAAATTTTGGCAAAGCATTCGTTTTATATTAACATAACTGCTGTAGATTAGCTCAGATATCTAGTGTTATGTAAATGCCGTTTCAGATGCTAAGTGTCTAATAGACTAAGTACACATGAAGTTTAGAATTTGAGAAGAGCACACACTGCCTGTGAAAGGTAATGGTTTTACATATAAAATATGTAGGAGAGTCAGTTGTGCTACAAAGTATTGCCTCCACCACACCAGAATTGAAGACAAAACAAGATCATTAATACATGAAATACAGATTTTTAAGTTGTGGTAAGTGCAGATCTAATGCAACTTTAACTGCAGAATTGCTGCTGCTGACTCCATAAAATATATCCTATAAACAGCTGTTAATCTCTTCAGTGTTTATCTTTTAACATTCGTTTAGTAATCAGCTCTCATTTATTCTACATATGGTACAGCTTCCCTTTTATAGCAGCTGCATTTAATGAACATTTGGAAGCATGAAAGTATTACAGAAATTATTGTTTAACTATTCTCCTGCATTATTTTTGTATCTGTCACCAAGGACATTTGAATAAAAGTTAGAAAAAAATGTTATTAAACATAGAGCAAGGGAGGTTTAGGTTCTCCCTCATCTTCCTGAACTGTTAATTTGTAGTGGAAATTCGTGTGACCATGCTTAACACTGCTTAGCTCCTTTAAGCAATTAATTTTCTGAATTTATACTGTCCATTCTCTTTTGTGATTCACTGACGTCAACATGTCAAATTTGAGTCACTCTTCCGTTTTGCTCTGTATCATACTAGAGACCTTTAGGTAATGCACTGAGAGAGGATCTTGCAGCCCTGATAGACTGAGTGCATTTAGAGATGTTTAGAAAATGACAGCTTACAAGATTTAAATTTTGTTAGGTGTTCTGGGTGACTGTGGGGACCAGTGGTCATTAAAGCTGATTTCTATGAAGATGACTCCCTTTTGGTGTACCTGTCTTTATTTCATCTTAATTCCTTTTTTTTTTAAAAAAAAAAAAAAAAAATTTTAACAGTGTCTTTAACAAGACCATTTTATCATAGTAAGTGTTCTTTGGTTTTTATTAGTGCTTCAGCCACATCCAGCATCCTGAACTGAATGAATAAACAGAACATATGCTTTTAATTTATAGTAAAGTATAGGTGAGAATATAGCTATGTAATGAAACTTTACTAGCTTCAGGGCACGATGGTGAGCAGGGCAAATACCTTTGGATGGGACAGTCCTTTGTCTTCAGTCAGCCTTTACTGGTGACCTTGTCCTGCGTCTGTTGGCAAGGAGTCTGTGCATCTGTCAAGTAGAGCAGTGGGCAGAGAAGAAGGGATGTTCATTAAAACTGCCTGCTTGGATCAGGTGGTGTTCCAGAAACGGGAAATTCCCTGTCAGCTCCACCCAATTCAGCCATAATGACAGGTGGGTTGGGGACAAGATTAAAGAAAGAAGCGCCTACTTGCCTAAATGTCCTGAGTACCTTACAGCTACGCCCAGTATATATTATTGGGATGTATTGTTTTCAGATGGTTGATTAATCAAAATAGCTGCAAGTGAGTTTGATAGGTGTCACCAGCCACATAAATAGATAGATGTGTTAAATTGGCGTTGTGTGTGCAAATGCTCAGTTGGGACAAATGTACAGAATATTTTAAAAAGGATTTCAGGTATTTCTGCAAGGCATTTTTGTTAATAAGGTTTAGCTGTGCATGAAATGTGCTTTTTTCTAAATTTAACCCTACTAACAGTTTACCACCCTCTTTTTGTGTGTGTTTCTTTTTCTCTTCCAGTGCCACCTTGGGCCTTAATAGCCATAGCCATAGTTGCAGTCCTATTAATTCTTACCTGCTGCTTTTGTCTCTGTAAGAAATGCTTGTTCAAAAAGAAGAACAAGAAGAAGGGAAAGGAGAAGGGAGGGAAGAATGCTATTAACATGAAAGATGTTAAAGATTTAGGGAAAACCATGAAAGACCAGGTAAAGTACTTCTCCTTTTCTTTAACTCTTGAGTTGCATTTGAAGGTTTCTGTTTGGTGTGTCTAGAAGAAGTTCTGCCTGTTGCCTCACTAGTGGCTCTGTGAAGGGGAACTGATTGACAGCATCTTCTCAAGAGTATCACAAAAGATGAATCTGGGTGTAACACCACTGATAAAGCAGTCAGCAGTCTGCTGAAAAAAAAACAATGAGGAGGCATATAATGACTCATCTGAAAGGGACAAGTTTATTGTGTGTATCATTTTGTCCCCAAAATGAAGCAAATGTGTGCAGTTTTCACTGTCCTTTCTCAAGACTTTGACCAGGACCTAGTACAGTGTTTGCATATCTTTCTAGCAGTATTACTGAGCTGTCATGATAAACAAAAGTAGCTTTGCACTGTAAATACCTTTTTCGGAAAAGGAGAAGGTCTGCAAAGAAAGAAACAACTGCATAGAAGAAAAAATGAGAAGCATAGAAAAAGAGGAGAACAATCAAAAAGGAAGAGCACAAGTACGCAATGAAATTATGCTAGGAGAATTAATTTTGTACTAAAGAGGAGGAGATTAAAAATAACAGGCCATACTTGTAGCTGCAAGTCATAGAATTATAGAATGGTTTAGTTGGAGTCATTAAAGATCATCTAGTTCCAGCCCCTAATTTGGAGGAAAAGATTACAGTAATGCCCTTTGAGCAGCATCCTTTTCATGAGGGCAGAAAAACTTGTCCTTCAGATCTGCTTCATGCAAGCGAAGCAGAAGATTGTAAGAACTGATCCTCAGGGCCAGAGGCTTGTCCTTGCTGGAACAAACTGTTGAGAATAAGAATAATGGAGAAATAAATGTGAGGTATCCATGTGTTCTTACTGAGTTGCCAGATTTCCCAAGATAAGAAGACAAAGAGCTGTATTTTTAAACAGAAAGTGCTGAAGAAATATAGAGAACTGATTTACAAAACCTTTTCAGTAGGAGCCAAAGATATTACATGGTCAAGTCTGTACTCCCAAGATGCCTGCTAAGGTTGAGCCAGAGCACTCCAGGAGCACTTACCCAGCCAAAGTGAGAGGACAAAAGCATGATCAGGAATGAGTAGTTCCTTCCACAAGTCTGGATCTAGTTTATAAGAAAGCTGGGCTGAGGCAGGTTTAGAAGTACAGGACAAAACTGGGAACATGAGGACTAGGGCCAGCCGATCAGGATGAGATGCAAGAAGAGGAGCCTCGAGTACAGTAGCTAAGAGGCCCATGGAGCAGTCCAGAACAAGTGTTGAGATGCCACTGTACAGTGATGGAGCAGCCACCAGTATGGCTCATCAGACAGTCTTAAGAGTCCTGCAACAGGTTTAGCATGCTTCTCCAGGCATGTAAGATGTTATAGGGGAAGAGCAAAATCAGTAGAGTGGGTGAGGAAGCCATGCAAGGCTGATGACTAGCTGCAAATGGATCACATGAGTGGAATCTGAAAGGAGCTCAGATAAGGGGAGGAAAATAATGGATAAACTTCAAAGGTACAGATCTATCGGAGCTATTTCAGTTTCCTTTATCAGATAAGAGGACAGGTTTTGTTGTTCTTGCTAAGTAGATAGCAGGGAAAGAAAATAACTGAAAATCCATTTGTTTTATTCCTCCTATTTATGCTACTCAGTTGTAGTAGCCATCCCAGATTGCCTTACCACAAATAACAGTCCTGCACAGACACAAAGAGCAAACGGCTGGAAACCCTTGTATCCACATTGCAAGGAGAGCACTTTAGATAGTGCCTTGGTACACAGCTTCAACCATTGTTCCAGCTGGAAAGAAGATGCTTCTTGTGTTACACTGGTGTCCTGGAGTACATGACACCAAGACAAGATAAATTCACCTCTGAGAACAACCTCATCAGTACACAAAATCACTAATGTAGATGCAGCTGTTCCAAGGTTAGGAAGATTAGTGTGGCAGAGCTCAAAAAACAACAGAGCAGGAAGTTTGAGTTCTCCCTTGAAGAAGAATTTATGCTGATATTCTTTTCTTCATATGATGAAAGTGAAACAAACCCCTTTTCTTTAAGTACTTTGATTTAGCATTCATAGATTCCCTGTATGGGATTCATAGACTTTGTTCTGGGCTATTAATATTAAGTAATTGTGAGATATTTCCCCCTCAGCAGTGCATGGAATATCAGATCATCAGTTGTTGGGTTACCCTGGGCTACTGTGAGCCAACTCCTCCCATTGAACCAAGAATAATTTGGAAGAACTGTTTGATTATGTTTGTGGAAAAAATTCTTTGAGATGTTTGTTATGTTATACCAGTGATAGCAAGCCTAATACTCTGTTGTATGGCAAATAATGTGCAATTCATTGATCTATATTTATGTGGAATTGTTCCATATCGTGTAAGGCCATTGTTGTATTTACAATATATTCTTAAGTGGTTTTAATTATATCCATTAGGACCTGGATAAATGACCACGGATTCTTGGAAAATAAATATTTTAAATGCAAAATTACATTAGGTATTTAATAGTGCCTTCCATTTCTATCTTTTTTTTCATGGGAAAATTTTATAAAAAGTGGAATCATGCATCTCTTAGCTACAAAGAGAGCTCAAACTTTGAAATGTAGCACAGATTATTTAATTCAAAATTTCAATATAGTTATTTAAGCATCCTTTTGCCCAAACATTTTGATATTTAACCAGTATGTTTTGTTTTGCACAGTTAAACCTAAGGAGGGTAGATCCTAAGTTGATGCAAATGTCAGACTTTTAATAAGTAGATGGATCATAAACTCTGCAGCCAAGCTTCCTCTTCACTGTCTCGGTTTTCAAACACAGGCTGCTTAAATTAGGCCCTTAAATTCATAACTAGCAGGCTGATAGTGTAGGGCTTTTAAGTCTTTGGCATTCAATAATACTACCAACTTAATTCCTAATCTGTGAAATTTTAGCAGTCTTTTTTTTTTTTTTTTCTGAAAGACTGATGATTTATTGGAACTGTTTAATCCTGAGTTGTCAGAGCAAATTTTAATACACCTAGGTGAACTCAATGCAAAGATAAATGTGGAATATTTCAGTTAAGAGAACTGAACAACTTCAGACACTCTGGCATAAAATAGAAAGGGAAACAACAAGAAGGCCTTTTAGCTCTTTAAAGAAACAAATGTTAATGTTAAAAAAAGGTAACTGAAGATCAAGATGTAAATCTAAAGGCATTATAAAGGGCATCATACAGTACCAAAGATCTGAAATGTTGTCAAAAAAAAAAAATAGTTCAATCATTGTTAAACCTGAACCTGCAAGTGCTAATTGCTTTCTGTCAAGCAGAGAGTGCATAATAGCGGTTGATAGGCACTTGGCATCTTGTGAGATCTAAGTTCCTTAAGCATACAACACTTGATAAGGGGTAGCATTTGGTAAATTTGAAAGTATCAGCTTCTGGAAATATGATTTCCATCTTGGTCTCATTTTGTTAGTCAGAGAGAACTTGTGACTTACGTGTGCTCGTGCTGACCTGCCCACCCATGCCAAGTCATTATGGAGCCTTATAGTCTGACATCGTTAAAGGTCTTTTTGACAAAGAAACTCAGTCAGCTCAACAGTCACACATGATAGCTAGATATTACAGAAAGTGGAATAAAATTTTGGTCTCTTAGAATATCTGTGCTTCAAAATGTCTACTTTCCTGAACGCAACTTCAAATGAGAAACTGTGTATGAAATAATATAGATTATGAACAAATGTAGTTGAGGTAAAGTAGGAGTTGAGTTGACTATAACAGTAGATTTTCCGTCTTGAAACCCATTTCCATACAGTCTATGCTTACTTTTTCAAGTAAAGTATACAACTCCACCTGCTGGACCTGTGGGAAGATTAGAATCATTCTAGGGGAGGCAAATTGTTAATGAATGTACTGCTGTAAAAAGGTCATTTCTCCATGGTTTTTACTAATGTTTGTGTGTGGATGTTTTAATTTTTATTTCTTCCTCCTATGTCCTCCTTGTCTATGTTGTGTCTCATGACTGTTCTGGATTGTCACTTGCGGTAGGTTTATTTTGCTATTTGGACGCACCTTGTCTAAAGCTCTGATACATATAGTCTTCTGACAGCTGTGGTTCCTCAGCTGAGATTTATATGTAGTAGCTTTGATACACACATCAAGAGGCTGAACTAAATTGATTGGGAATTTTTTGGCTGTGTATATATTTGGAAGGAGGCCAGAGGAAAGTGAAAGAGGTTGTCATTCTTTCTGTAGTTAAGATATTAAGTCAAACTGTACTAGAAAGCTCAAGTTTAAAATTGATAGGCACATAAAAATAACTTGCTAAATTTATTTCCTTTTTGTATAAATGTCATCATATCAAAAGTAGATGAAAGCAGTGTGTATTTTTAATGTCTTGGTTTCTAAGTGTTGCTGAAATGATTGGTACCTCATGAAACTTACTGTGGGCTCTTGCATCATCTCAATATAGCTTCTTAGTGCTCCCTAACAAATTCTTCTAAGTGGTCTTATTCCAGATTCCTGTTGATGCAGTTGAATGACAACTATGTTTTGTTTGACAAAAATGTTTTTCTGAGATCCGTCTATCACAGTTCTCTTCTTTATAACTTTCCAATCTGCCAATGGCCCTGGTGGTTCCCACTGTGGGTTTTTTTGGGGGGAAAAAAAAAGCCCCCAAACACCCAGCTCCAGAGTCACTGTACTGGTTGCTGACTTACTGAGTCTGAATTTAATGCATTGGTACAGCAGAATTCTTGCTTAAGGTCAGCCTGTGCACTGAGGAAAGGAATATAATTAATCATTTCAGTCATGAAGAGTAGCTCTTCAAAATTACTGAAATTTAGCCCTATTGCTTGGAGAGTAACATTGGGGTGGTCTGAACATTTTATTAGGTCACCAAGCATTTGTGGAGAAGGAGATTTAATAGCTTGGTCCTTTCTTATTGCAACAGGCTAAAACACTGTCACTAGTGAAAGATTTTTGGCTTACAATGAGTGTGTCCATTAGATGAAATAGGAGATTTGG